TTATTTATTATTTCTATAGCTTTTATAACTGTAAAAGCTACCCCTCCACCCCCCAGTAATTGGGGTTACTTATCAGCACTCTAGTATTGTTTGGTTCATTGAGTTGATTAATACTTATGGAAGCAGATTGCCAGCTCTTACTCTTGTAGAGCTTTGACTAAAAACTGCTGCTTTTTAGTTAGCAACCCAGAGCTTGATAACTATAGAGGCATAGGGTTCCCTGTCACTGTGTTTCTTGAAAAGAATACTCCTGGTTCTTACTCTCTTTTGATTATGTCCATTTTTCTGAATTTATTTAACAAAATCTAGTTTTCATAACACTAAGACAGAACCATTTATAAAGGTGGTGGTTGTTATATGCCATCAAATCAACTACAGCTCAGATAATGACCCTGTGAACAGTGGATCTGAGCCCTACCCTGTCCTTGAGCCAACCTGTCTCTGACACATCTGCCCCCATAACCACAGTCATTGTGACAGTCTCAGAGTTTTCCTGCTGCCCTACACTGACCTCTCTTCTGAGCATAATGTTCTCCAAGGACTGGATTCTCCTGAAAATATGCCCAAAGTATGTGAGGTGAAGTTTCCAAATCCTTACCTCCAAGGAGCACCCTTTCCAGGACAGACCTGCTTGTTCTCTTGGAAGTCTATAGTATGTTCAGCACCTTCTCCAGCACCATAACTCAAAGGCATCGATTTTCCTTCTTAGTCGTTTTCTAACTTTCAGATGCATAGCAAGAAATTGAGAAGGTTAGAAAGTAGAATTCCTCAGTAAATTAGGATTTTTAGTTGTCATTTTATCATAGGTTAAATATACCCACTGTCCTTGGTAAACAGGACTCTATATAGATTGTGGTGAGGACAGAACATGTAATAAATGCCACATGTAGTAAATGCCCCTTTTTGTAGCTTGAGTCTTGAAATGATCACAGATACTATAAATTTGCATGGTCTTGTTTCTCAGTATTTAACCAAATGCAACTTTAAAAAGTAGAAGTTTGTAATGCCTAACCGAAACTGTGGCTTTTAGCAGTTAAGTTGCTAACTTAAAGAAAGTAGTTGTTTACTTTACCTTTTAACTTTAGGTGAAAGTAAGTCTCTTGGGTAATCTCTATACTTGAGAGGAATATGAAAATTGAAACATTTTATAAAACAAATGACAGTAAAACTTAAAGGCAGATGCCTCCCTGGAGATCTTAAGAGTCCCTGAAGTTGTGTTATGGTCAAGACATTTAGAAAATGCCATACTGTACATATCTACAGCTGTTTAAGCTTAATGGTTAGCTACAGCTTCTTTTCACTGGAATTCCTTGACTCTTGAACTGAACACTGATTTTCTTAAATCCAGAGCATTCTGTTTCAGAATATTTAGCCTAATGTTCTGATCTGCAGGGCATTTGGAGGACTGTGAGCTATTAGATGCAAATTGACATGTCAAATGAGAAAAGAATTTCTAGGAGGAAAAGTAAACTGTCATATTATACAAAGTTTGAATAAAGATGCAAACATAAGATGAAGTTTCCAAAAAAAGATGCCAGTTTGCTTAATTAGGAACTCATCTAGTAAGGTGAGCTATTAAATAACTAAATCAGACTTTCAATTCAGTAATTGACTTGTGTCTTTGTATGTTTGTCCGTTTTCTTTTCGGCTTACAAATGAAATACTAATTTTTAAATTTTTCTGTGATCATATATAAAGTGGAATCGGGACATCTGGGAATCACTTAGGATTATTCCTCTATTCCCTTTCTGTGATATGGATCCACATTTCCTCAAGACTTTGGATGTATGTATGAAATTTTTCTGTTGAGTAATTTAATAACCATGCAACACTAGGAATATATTGTTTCAATCTGTTGGCAACTGAAAATTTATCACTTAGGACATCTTATCCTGCCTAGTGTTCTACCAGGAGATAACCACTGTTAGAAACAGTGCTAGGAAACTTACGTCTTTTAAATGGGGTCATGAAGCAAAGGAAAAAACAGTGTCATCCCGTATCACAGCTGAGTTTTTGTTAGGTGCCATCAAGTTGAGAATGACTTATGGTGACCCTATGAACAACACATATGAATCCTGTTCATCCTCACAGGCGCTGCTACAGTCACTGTGTCATTTCACCTGGTTGAGGGTCTTCCTATCTTCCACCATCTCTCTACCTTCCAAGCATGTTGTCCCTTTCCGGTGACTAACCTGTCTTAGCAATATGCTCAAGGCATGTGAGACAAAGTTTCATCATCTTTGCCTCCAAAGAGCACTTTGGCTGCATCTTCTCCAAGAAACATCTTTTTATTCTTTTGGCTGTCTGTGGGATATTTGTTGTTGTTGTTGTTATGTGCCGTCGAGTCGCCTGCGACTCATACAATGTATGACCCTATGTACAATAGCCCTAAACTCCACTCTGGCCTGTTGCAATCTCACTGTCTCTGACACCCCCATCCCAATTATCCCAGTCACTGAATCAATCCACCTCATAGAGAAACTTCCTCTCCTGCGCCGTCCCTCCACCCTCCCAAGTATGATGTCCCTCTCCAAGGACCGGTCTCTCCTCACTACATGTCCAAAGTATGTTAGACGGAGCCTCAGAATCCTTGCCTCCAAGGAGCCACCCGGTTTAACCCTCTCCAGGACAAATCTATTTGTTTTCCTAGCAGTCCATGGTATTCTCAGTACTCTTCTCCACTCCAGCACCACAGCTCAAAGGCATCAGTTCTCCTTCTATCCTCCTTGGTCATTGTCCAACTCTCTGATGCATAACAGGTGATTGCGAAGACCATGGCCTGTATCAGATGCACCTTAGTCTCCAGAGAGACACCACTGCTCTTCAGCACTTTGGAGAGGTCCCTAACAGCAGACTTTCCCATGGCAATGCGCCTTTTAATTTCCTGGCTGCTGGTGCCAAGACTGTTAACTATGGAGCCAAGCAGACTAAAGCTGTGTACAATCTCAATCTCTTCACCATCCATCCTGATGCTGCCAATTGGTCCAGTGGCTCTGGTTGTTGGTGCATATATTTGAATGATACTGGTATTCACTTGACTTCCTTGTATGCGTATAGATATTATCCTGTCACTGACAATATTGTACTTCAAGATAGATCTAGCAATGACTTTTTTAACTATGAAAGCAACTCCATTTTTCCTCACTTTTTCATCTCCAGAGTAATATATCATATGGTCATCCTACTCAAAATGCCCCATGCCAGTCCATCTCATCTCACCAATGCCTAGTATGTCAATATTTATGTGTTCCATTTCTTCCTTAACAATATCTAATTTTCCTACATTCATGGTTCTCACATTCCATGTCCCAATCACCAGTGTCTGCTTACAGCTGTTCCTCTTCCTTTGTATTTCCATGCTTGAAAACTCAACCTCCTTTGCCATTTCTGTTATCTAAATAGGGATCTAAAGGTGGGATATTTAGTATTTTTTCCAACACCACAGTTCAGATGCATCAATTCTTTTGTCATTCATTGGCCAGCTCTCAGATATATAGCAGGTGACTGAAAAGATGATTATAACCTGAATCAGGTATACTTTGGTCCTCAAACTAACATCATTGCTCATTAATTTGGACAGGCCTTTGACTGGTTGTACCAAGTGTATTTATTATGGATCCAAGTAATATGATATAATTGATAGTTTCAATCTTTTCTCCGTCTATCATGATGTTACCTTCGGTCCAGTGGTGAGAATCTTTATTTTCTTGACATTAGAGGAAAACTCATCAATAACCTTTGTTATGCCGATGACACAACATTGCTTGCTGAAAGTATGACTTGAAGTACTTGGTGCAGAAGATCAAAGACTGCATACTTCAATATGGATTGCATCTCATCATTGAGAAAAAACAGTAATTCTCACTACTGGACCACAACTTTATAGATCACATGGGTCTAATTTTTATGCCTAAATATCTTGTTTTTGTTCAGTGCCCAGGTAGTTTTATTTTGTGAAGAAAGTATATTTCTGTGCCCCAGGGTGGTCTTTTGGGGTGAGAGGAAGAGGAAGTTATATACCTGTGAAGGTATATCTGTCCAGTTTGCAAAGTTTATATACATCCATAGTATCCCATCTCAACTTTCATATACCTATCTATGTTAAGCCTTATTTTATTTAAATGCTTGCAAATAATACTTTCTTATGCTTAGGATAGGTATAGGTATCTTCATGTAATTGTAAACAAGTTACTAGACAATTACATGTTTTGCCTTTTCTTTAGTGCCTTGTTTTATATACATTGTTACATTTACTCTAAAATGAATATGTCAAAACCAAAGCCAAAGCCAAACCAAACCAAACAAAACCCCAACTGTCAACAATTATTATCAGCTGGTAGCAACTATATTAGGATACTGTAGAACTGCACCTTTATAGGGTTTCTGATGCTGTAAATCCTAATGCAAGCGTCTTTCACATATGGAGCAACTGGTGGATTTGAACCACCAAATATTCAGGTAGCAGTTCAACTCTTAATTCGAGTGATATTACTGTTACACCTATATTGCAGAAGGAAAAACGGAGTATAGGGTTAAATTAGATGATTTTTTTTTTGTTTTTGTTGTTATGTGCTGTTGAGTTGGAAATAACTCATAGCTGAACCTCCAGTGGTTTTTCAGAGGTAGTAAATGGCATGAGAGGAGATTGCTTATCTATCTCCCACAGAGTTGATGGTGGATTTGAACCACGTGTTTTGGGTTTGGCATTGCAACTCCTTGAGCCTAGGCCTCTACAGCTCCCTCAGGTCATTTTAGTCAGGGAGAAGTAAAGTTAGAGAGTTAATTCTAGGTCTATCTGATATCAGACTTTGAATTCTTACTTGCTAAGCCATACACTTTCACTTGTAATTAACTTTCAAGCCAGATTGTTAATAAAATTTATGTCTGTTACAGAAATTCTGACTTTTCTGCATTTACTGGGGGAAAAAAAAGTTGTGGGGTTTTTTTTTGGGGGGGGGTGTTTTAAAATTAGAAAACCATATAGTATTTTCCTCTTACAGGAGCTGAAAGATGTGGGCCATCGTGATCAGATGGCTGCCGCGAGAGGAATCCTGCAGAAAAATGTTCCAATACTCTATACTGCATCCCAGGCATGCCTTCAGCACCCTGATGTTGCAGCCTATAAGGCTAACAGGGACCTGATATACAAGCAACTGCAGCAGGCTGTCACAGGCATTTCCAATGCTGCTCAGGCCACTGCATCAGATGATGCTTCTCAGCACCAAGGTGGTGGAGGAGGAGAACTGGCTTATGCCCTCAACAATTTTGATGTAAGTTTTACATGGCAGGAAGTTCCAAGTCAGACTGTCAGGGGAATGTGATCAAGTTTTCTGATAAAACTTCAGTTTCTTCTTAAATTTGCAATCTAAATAGAAAGGTTATTATGAATAATCTATTTTATCCTGACTTAAAGCATTCATCTTTTTGGTTTTTTATTTTTGTTTGTTAAACATGAAATTTTTTTTATGCTGTTTGTTTTTCCTATAAATTCATTCTTTATTAAGGATTTGAGTTTGCTTCATTTAAAATTTTGAAAGATGGAGAGCTGTAGATGTCAAGACTGACAAAGTGAACATAGGCTGTGCTTTTCAAGGGCTCATAGTCCAATAGGAGCTATAGACATAAATGATCGCCGGAGAAGTTCTAACATTATAATTTTAGTTATCTGTTTTATATATCCAAGTACCTGATTTTTCCTAAATGTTTATTTTATACTACTTCATATGTATGGAAGACCTACACTATTACTTGTTTACACTAATGGAAAGACATCTGAAGGGGGCTTTCACTTTTTATAAAGAAGAGGAAAACAAACAAATGTTAAACATTTATTTTGCTATTGTTACTGTTAGGTGCCACCAAGTCAACACTGATTTACAGTAATCCTAAGCTTTAAAGTTTAAAAAAAAAGTTTATAGAAAAGTTGGGTTTCATTCATTGTTGCACATTCTCTCCCTCCCTCCCCCTCTCCCCCGTTCACTTTCTTTTTTTAAAAAAAATACTCATTCACTGCTGTACATGTTCCTCCCTCCTCCCTCCCCCAGCCCTTTTTGCAACACACCTCTTATTCTGGACTGCTGTCTTAGAAATGATGCCTAATCTGTCCCACTCGAATTTCAAAACCATCTCAGGAACAGGTTTGAGGCCTTGAGCACCAGTGAGCGTAGACTAAATGAGCTCCGGGAGGATATCAAGAAAATCGTTCATGAAGAATGCAAAAGATCATTACAAAGGCTGAAAAGGAAGGAAAGACCAAGTTGGATGTCAGATGAGACTCTGAGTATTGCATTAGAGCACCGAAAAGTCAAAGCTGAAGGAAGGAATCAAGAAATCAAAGAGCTGAACAGAAAATTTCAAAAGGCAGCTCAAGACGACAAAGCAAGATACTATAATGAAATGTGCAGAGAGCTGGTGTCAGAAAATCAAAAGGGCCGGACTAGCTCAGCGTTTCTTAAGCTGAAGGAACTGAAAAACAAATTCAAGCCACATGTGGCAATACTTAAGGATACTTTGGGTAGAAGTATCAAAAGAAGATGGAAGGAGTACACAGAGTCACTGTATTAGAAGGAATTGGCTGACACAGAGGAATTTCATGAAATAACATATGAGCAAGAACCTTTGGTGATAAAGGAGGAAGTTCAAGTTGCTCTGAAGGAATTGGCAAAAAACAAGGCTCCAGGAGTTGATGGCATACCGATTGATTTATTTTAACAAACAGACACTGCACTGGATATGCTAAGTTGTGCCAGGAAATCTGGAGGACAGCCAGCTGGCCAACTGACTGGAAGAGATCGATATTTGTTCCCATTCCAAAGAAAGGTGACCCAAAGAGTGTAGAAATTATCAAACAGTATCATTGATACCACATACAAGCAAGGTTCTGCTGGAAATTATCCAAAAACGTTTGGAATGTCAACAGAGAACTGCCAGATGTGCAGGCTGGATTTAGAAGAGGTCGTGGTATTAGGGATATTGTAGCTAATGTTAGATGGATCTTGGCAGGAAGTAGAGAATACCAGAAGAATGTCTATCTGTGCTTCATCGACTATGCAAAGGATTTTGACTGTGTGGATCACAACAAGCTATGGCTGACTCAGAGAAGAATGGGAATCCCAGAACATTTGATTGTGCTAATGCGAAACCTATACTTTGACCAAGAGGCAGTCATCAGAACAGAGCAGGGAGACACTAGATGGTTCAAAATCAAGAATGGGGTCCGTCAGGGATGTATTATTTTGTCTCCATACCTTTTCAGTCTGTATGCAGAACAGATCATCCGAGATGCTGGGCTGTGCGAGGAGGAATGTGGCATCAGGATTGGTGGAAGAATCATCAACAACCTGCGTTATACAGATGACACAACCCTGTTTGCTGAAAACTGAGGAGGACCTGCAGCGCTTGCTGCAGAAGGTTAAGGACTGCAGTCTTCAATATGGATTGAAGCTCAACATCACGAAAACAAAGATTCTCACCATTGGGCCAATTGGCAGCATCAGTATGGGTGGTGAAGAGATTGAGAGAATTAACAGTTTAGTTTGCTTGGTTCCACAGTCAGCGCTCCTGGTAACAGCAGCCAGAAAGTCAGGAGACTAATTGCATTGGGAAAGTCAGCTGTGAGGGACCTCTCAAGAGTACTGAAGAGCAACGATGTCAGGCTGGAGACTAAGGTTCGCCTGATCCAGGCTATAGTCTTTGCAATTACGTGCTGTACATTAGAGAGTTGGACAGTGAATAGGGATGATAGCAAGAGAATTGATGCCTTTGAGCTGTGGTGATGGAGAAAAGTGTTGACTATGCACCATGAACTCCTAGGAGATCAAACAGGTCTGTCCTGGAGAGGGTGAAGCCAGAATGCTACTTGGAGTCAAGGATTCTGAAGCTTTGTCTGACATACTTTGTGCATCTTGTAAGGAGGAACTGGTCCTTGGAGAAGGACATCATATTTGGGAAGGTGGAGGGGCGGCAAAGGAGAGGAAGACCTTCGATGAGATGGATTGATTCTGTGAGTGGAGTGGTGGGAATAAGCGTGTTTAAGACGGCGAGGTTGGCACAGGATAGAACAGCATTTAGGGCTCTTGTACATAGGGTCGCAAGCGACTCGATTGCACATTAACAACAATAATCATATATTCCTTTTAAATAGTTCTCTCCTTCATCTGTTCCAATACACTGTTCATTATCTATCTACTCTTTTCCTATTAGCCTCCCAAACCCCCATGTCAGTCCTGCTGGGAATATATCCTAAAGAAATAAAAATTTCCATCAAAACAGATGTATGCACACTCATGTTTAATGTTGTGTTATTCGCAGTAGCAAAGAGATGGAAACAACCCATCAACAGGTGGATGGAATAGCAGAACTATGGAGGGGGATGTGTATACGTATTTTCACACAGTGAAATACTATACATCACTGAAAAATAAATGACCTCGCAAAACATTGCACAACATAGGTGACTGGAGGACATTATGCTGAGTGAAATGTCTCAGTCTCAAAAATACAAATACTGCATATCATGATTGTTGTAATTTACTTTTTAAATTAAAGTCGGATAAAATGGTCTTCCAGGAGACCAGCTTTTCTTTCATAAATGAAAATGATAGTTTAAGATAGAGAATCAATTTAGTGGAATGCATTTTGTTTTTAAGTCTTTGTCTTTGCTTATTCTCTTTGTCCTACCCATTTTCTTTGACTTGGATAACTGTTCCTTGCTAGTGTGCAAGGCTAATTTAACTATTTTCATAAATCATAAAAACAGTGCTAAATCTAAAGACCATGGTATTAGAATGGAATTTTTACCCTGCAGCCTAAAACATAAAATGTCTTAATAGGAAACACTTACTATTTGACTTATTATTTGTCTTATAATTTACTGGCATTCTTGCCTTTTACTCCTTAGATTTACCAGTATGAAATAGTATTTTTTTAAAATAGTATTTAACTCTTTTAAGACAGCAAAGATAGAATTTTGCCCCAGTTGAGTAATACATTTTAGAAGCCACTTAATTAACCTCTAGTTTATTTATTTGTAACGGGAGGATGTTGGGCTTAGTGATCTCAGATTTGTTGTTCTAAGACTGCATTAAATCCTTTGACCATTCTTTCCTTTTTCTTATTGGCTACAGGAATCTAGTATGCATTTTTGACAAGATAAGTTGAGTAACCTAATTTGGTAAGGAAAAGGACCAATTAAAAGAATCTAAATAATCTTATGATCCTATATGTTCAATTTTAAAATTGAATGTTCTTTGGAAGGAAAGATAGAAATTTGTACTTATCAGAAAAAGAGAAACTTTTGGTACCTAAAATAATTTGGCATTTAAGTTGAAATCAATAGGAACATAGATCTTATGAAGAAATATTAAAGACAGAATATTTGTACAGATGCTTACCATTGTGAATTTTAAGTTGTGTCAAGTAGAAAAATTGGAGGGAGGCTAGTATTTGCTGTTCTAGGGTTCTTGATGTTTGCCCTTGTGCCTGCAAGTTGCTTGTCACCAAACCTCAGTAGTTCTAGTAAAACAATATTTAATGATGTCAGGGAATGGAAAGGAATAAAGGGGAGACCAAGGAAGGGTGTAGTCATTTTAGGGCAGATAAAAATTATGTGCTTATATTCTCAGTGATGCTGGATAAATTAAGGACTTTCTACAGAGTATGAAGGAGCTCTGGTAGTGTTGCACATGATGTGTTGAGCAACAAACTAAAAGATGAATAGTTCAAATTCACCAACTGCTTTGCAGGAGAAAGATCAATAGTCTCTTCCCATAAATATATACAATTTTGGAAACCCAAAAGTGGAACACTGAGTTGGAATCCATTTGATGACTGTAGGAACGAGATGCTTCACGGAGTGCCTTTGTGAGGAAGGATTGACATAATCTTTTTCCGAATATCTGAAAATTGACAGACACATAGGAGAGATGTAAGATGAGTTGTTTATGAAATTTGTTAAGATGAGAATAGATTGAACTTCATTATGATGCTCTTTCTGAAACTTCTAGATCAGATGCGCAGTTTTTTAATTTATTCAGATAATGCAGTTGTATACTGTACACATCAAAATAAAAGGTATCTTATTTTCTTATAATTTGATAACTTCACTTTCTGAACTGTACATACCTGACCTGTATTTATCCATGCGAGTTTATTTTTGCATGTACACAACACTCAGGAAATTAAATTAAAAGATTCTGAAGTTTGTGAAAACTCTATATAATATAATACACACGTTATTTGCATAAAAAGGAGTAGTATGAATGTGGTTTTTTTATACAGACATTTTTATTTCCGTATACCTTACTCATACTGTTGTGCTGGACAGCTTTGCTTTTAATATGTTGTTAACTAAATGACTTACCAGAGACCAACTTGTTTGGGATGGCCTATTTATTATTTCCAAAGATTTATAGCTTTGCTTCATGTGTTGGTTTTTTTTGTGGTAAATCTCTATATCAGCACTTTTCTGAATAATGAAACAATAATTAGCACTAACATTCTACTGCATAACTGCTACTTCTTCTGCAGAAACAAATCATCGTGGACCCTTTGAGTTTCAGTGAGGAGCGCTTTAGGCCTTCCCTTGAGGAACGCCTGGAAAGCATTATTAGTGGAGCTGCGCTGATGGCAGATTCGTCCTGCACACGTGATGACCGACGCGAACGAATTGTTGCCGAGTGCAATGCTGTCCGCCAGGCCCTGCAGGACCTCCTTTCTGAGTACATGGGCAATGTGAGTGTCAGAATCATTCTTTGAAGTCCTTTTATATCTTAGGAGTTTTCTATAACATTGGATCTGAAAGTGTTTTAACTATAAATATCAAATACATTGTTGGCTTCTTGACTTTTTGGGAGGGCAGATTCTTAAAGGAATCAGTCTTCTGGGTGCTTCTTTACCTCTTATCTTTTAATTTGGAATCTTCCTAAACTTAAAAAAAAAAAAAAAAAGGAAAAATTGTAGTATACATCTAAATGTTCTTTATCTAGATCACGGGTTTCTATTCTGACACATTTGCTTTCCTTTCTCCTTTTATTAGATACATGTTTATGTGTAAATGTATTTGTATATGTACCACACACATTTTTTTTTCTCTGAAACTTTTGAAAGTAAGTTAACCAGTGTTATCATGCTTCACCTGTAAATTGTTTCGTATACATTTCCTAAAGATAAAAAATGATTTTTTTTTAAAAAATATACAAAATTCATTAAAACATCAAGCACACATCTAATTTTAGACAAAGGAGATTGCTGAAGACCCGTCTTTAATAGTATTTTCATGAACCATACAAAATGTAGGTAATTGCCAAGTAGAATTGTATTAAGCAAACTGCATAGTGCTTGGTTGTGTGAAAATTGATACCTATTATTTTTTTGTTTAGGAAGTATTTTAAAGATTTTTCTATTTTGTCAGATGCCTTTCTTTTTCCCTTTGCTGATGCTTCCTCTTCTAATATATAATAATTTACAGTCACTATAGACGTTATAATTGAGTGATTTAAACCAGCAACTTTGTGTGAGAAAGACGTGGCAGCCTGTCGCTATGAAAGTTTCAGCCTTGGGAACCCAAAAGGTTACTCTGCTCTATCCTATAGGATCACTGTGACCTGGAATCTGCTGATGACTACTAGATTTTGTAGACCTTGTCAGCTAATACTTTACCCTGGCTAAGAAAGAATAAATAACAACTGTATAAAATATTAAAGGGGAAAGGGACAGTGTGAATCAGCTCTTGTCACTACTATCATTTGCTTTTTCAGATAAAAGATTCTGATCCTTTCTCATTTGTTTACTTTGTTTACATATATCTTATTTTATTTGCTCACTTATATACCTATATAAGCAAACATATAATGGTGAGTTATGAAGGAATTCCTAGGGTGAAGATGCATGTTTCCCTGTTTTTATCTTGTTTATACCATATTGTGAAATCAGTGAGGCATATTGAAATTTTTCAAGTCATTGCCCTGTTTTGATTGTAGGCAGTCTACCTCATAAAAATGAGATTAGAAACTTAGTTAAATCAAATGGAAAAAGCAGTTGATAAGGCATAGTTAAAATGTGGGATATATTTAAATATCTGTATTAAAGCTTGAAAACCAGAAAAGATAATTAGAAAATGACTTAATTGAACGAAGAAGGGTTCACAGTATACAATGTTGGACTCTTTACCAAGAAAATAGAAGCTCTTTGGAAAAATAAAAAATAATTTATATATATAGGAAGACCCTCTATGAGGTGGATTGATTCAGTGACTGGGGTAATCGGGATGGGTGTGTCAGAAGCAATGAGATTGGCACAGGATAGAGCACAGTTTAGGGCTGTTGTACATAGGGTTGCTATGAGTCGCAAACGACTTGACGGCACATAACAACAACATATATATATAT